AGCAAAGAAGACAACCGTGCAACAAGTATCACTTTACTCAACCATGGATGGTTCCGAGTGATCACACTCGTGACAATAAGGTTGGAGTTCAACAGAATCATCAGCAATGTCCCGTAAGAGCTGCGCATGCTTCTATCAAAAATTAAATTGCACATGAGTGTCATTTAATTTTTTAAATATTCTTCTCTACCTAGTTGTGAGCGTTTGCGGCAAAGAAGGTAAAGCTGATCACGCAAGGTATTTTCAAAAATCTTTAAAAAAACTTCAATTTATATTTTATTTTTATATTTCAAGCTTGGAAAACACAACATGCAACATGCAACATGCAACATGCAACATGCAGCAATGCAACATGCAACATGCAACAAAACCTTCACCAACCTTTTTTGAAATAGCTGTATACACATACCTTTAATACTTAGCTTCATTTTACATTCCTTGTCAAAATATAGTGGAAGATCTAGATACAGGCGTCAGCTTTCTATTGTGAATAACATCTACACTCTTGATCACTTTATCGAGTTGGTTGAAAAGATTGAACAACATCCTCAGACCAAAGATAAGTCTTTAAAAGAAATTGCTAACTATGTGAGAAAACTGGGATACGATAATAGCATGTGGACGGATCTCCTTGGTAACGCAGGTAAATTATGAATAATAATGGCAATGAATATAGACAAATGTTCAGTAATAAATAAATATTTAGCAATAAATAACAAGCACTAATGATAAAAACTTTAATTTGAAATCGTTTCCGGAAAGAAGAAGGCGTCAATCAAGGCGTTTTCATGACATGATATTACATATGCAAGTGCCCGAAAAAATCGTATTTYCTTACAGTGTCATGGAAACACTTCCTGACGTCCACCAAAAGCATATTTTRTCGGGATTTCAAATGTACGATTTTGCATGTGATAATGAGGATGATTGTAAAGGCATTTTGCTTTTTTCGTTCATACAACAGTGCTGCTAGGTTCCTAATCAGCCTCTGTTAATGTTGTCACACGAAGCTCACTCCTGCTACTTAGGAGAGTGAGTGTTGCGTGACGACACTAATAGCGGCTGCCTAGGACACCATAGTGCTGCATGCACTTTTTATTCTCTTTAATACTTTTCAATATATAGTAAGCAAGTAGTTTTGATGATTTTTGGTAATTATTGTTTCTTAAAGAWAGTCTGCCTACTGGAGTACTMACCAGTKMGGAAGAAAGAGTCCTCAATAACATGGTTGTACACCGCTACTTTAGGTCACGTGAGCTTGGCGTCGTCAAAACCCCGACCGGAAACGTGGCAATGGGTCACGTAATGACTGGGATTTGCGCGGGAGCTAGTCGCAAGAGCATTCTTATCGCTGGCGTATCTATTGACAATCTTTATGCTGCGACTATTTCTGGTGACCTTGGACAAACTGCTTTGCATAAACAGATCGACCAATCACGACTGCTCTTTGGTCCCGGAGGCTTTTGGTCGCCAAATGAAAACTGTCCAGCCACTTTCAACGCCCCATCATCGCAAACTTCCGAAGCAACTAATGCAGWACTCCTTGGTGATATCGATGGGTTTCTACTGGGGTACAACATCCCTGATTATGTTTCCAAAAAAGTTCGACTTGGTCAGTTGTTGAGAATGTACTATTCAGGGGGAGTTCTCTACGACACTTCTTTCGTTAGTTGCAGCAGGAAGCTAAAGTTTACGCAATTGGTGAGMCGWGATASGTTGRGGACACAAGTTCAGGGTKTCATGAACGGCCTCAMKGAAAGGTGGCGCGGTAGTGCAGATTTTTCTAGCGTGCCAAGCAGTTCGATTCCACATCTCGCAACAACTACTGTTACAGAATTTTTCAAACATCTTGGTAAGCTACATTACCTCTTTAGTTATTCTAGG